ACTTTCAATACTGTATCAGGAGGGAGTAGCTATAGGGCAAAGGGTGAATTTAACATTCTTTGTGTGGTTGCTGCTTCTGCTGTGCTTATTTCTACATAGTCAAAGGGTTTCTCTAGTCATGACAATAATAGAACAGGACAGACCCTCCCCCCTCAGTTTATCTCCATTGGCTTTCCCCTTCTACCTTAGTGTTATTTTCACACTGAGCAAGACCAACTTCATACTCTGTGATTGCCCTGGTAAAGGTATAGCACGATGGCTATAGCACCCTGTTAAAGGTTAGTACAACCTAAGATGTCTTTAAAGAGACAGGATTTTCTGAGAAAAAGGTGGTTTATCTCTTCCAGAGCAGTAAGGGTTATATTCACCTCCTAACATGTTGTACACATTCAGAAAAGATTTGCTAAAAGAGGAGGATAGAAATTGCAGAAGGACGTGATATGATGATTGGATGTTCCAGCAATATTTGGGGTTAACAAGTAGAAAAGCTAAGATGGACATCAGAGAACCTGCCTAAGAACATGGCTGCCAGCGGACAGCAGTATTGCACCTATGTGTGTCTCACTTAGATGTTTTGTATGGCTATAAGAAGATGCCACAGATTTGGGTAATTCATAATGACCATAGATATATCATTTATATCATTTTCAAGGCTGGGAAGTTTAAGATTAAGGAGCTGACATCTGAGGAAAGACTTCCTGATACATTATACTGTGGCAGGAAGTAAAAGGAAAAGAGGGAGATGAGGCCAAAGTTGGCTTTTAATTATTGGTGTCTTAGCTGGGTTTCTATTGCTGTGGTAAATACTGAAACTGAAAGCAATTTGAGAAGGAAAGTGTTTATTTTACCTCACAGATTACAGTTCATCACCAAGAGATGTCAGCCAATAGCTCAAAGAGAACCCTGGAGGCAGAAATGGAAGCAGAAACCATTGAGGAAGGCTTGCTCTCCATGGCTTGCTCAGCCTGCTTTCTTAGACTACTCAACACAACTTGCCCAGGAATGACGTGGTCCCTGTGACTTGGGCCCACCCATGTCAATCTGATAGAGGCATTTTCTCAGCTGAGGATCCTCTTCCCAGATAACTCTAGGTTCTGTCAAGTTGGCAAGAAAACAATATGAATAATCAGAAAGCCCATGGCATTGTTGGCTAACCCACTCCTCGGCAATGGGGATCTCTCATGACCTAGTCATCTATTTTAGTTATGCCTGCATACTATTGTATTGAAGATTAAGCATTTAATATGTATATTTTGAGGGATGTATTCAAACCATAGTAGAACACCGGCCCACACTACATGGCAGCCTAAAAGCATGTTGCTACCTCCCTCCTAAACCCTAGCTCCATATTCCAAACCCTAGTTCCATAAATCCATACCCGTGGCTCAGCATACATTCCTCAGTGTCCATAGGAACCAAGCCTGTGAGAACAAGGAAAGAGTAGCAGTTTCTTCCTTTCTTTCTTTCTTTCTTTCTTTCTTTCTTTCATTAAAGCATTGAACATAAAACTCAAGTGAAATTGGGCTATAATTGATTAAATCTTGGTATTATCACATTTTGTTTCCTGGTGATTTAAGGTGACATATTTCCTTCCACTTTACTTCATAAGACACAGGAGAAGGACCCACAGTGTGGATCTCTTGGTGGGAACTTTAGTCTTTGGTAGATATACTGAATAGCTGTACTTTCTTTTTTTTTCTGTACTTTCTTAATACCCTTAAAAAAAAACAGCTGGGCAGTGGTGGCACACGACTTTAATCCCAGCACTTGGGAGGGAGAGGCAGGTGGATCTCTGTGAGTTCAAGGCCAGCCTGGTCTACAAGAAACAGTTCCAGGACAGGCTCCAAAGCTACAGAGAAACCCTGTCTTGGAAAAAAAACAAAACAAAACAAAAAACAAACAAACAAAAAAACCTATCTACTGAGATGTAGATATTTGTTCATTGGCCTAGTCTTAGTCTCTGGATTTCAGATTAGGAAAGAAAACAATTACAGCTTTAGATAGAAATGCATTCTGCAGCTAAATCATCTCCTTATTTTGGCAGCACACCCTGTACCTATATTCTTGTCATCAATTTAATAAAACATTGGTCAGTTCTCAAGCAAGGACTCAGAACAGAAACTGTTTTCCATTCATGTGATGAGTGGAATAGTTTCCACTTGTCAAAGAAAAGTTTGTGTGTGAGAAATCACTGTAGCGTAAGAACTATAAATTGGTGTGATCCAATTCAAAGGCGAGCAACACAGCCAGGTTTTCGCCTAGAGTGTGCTAGTCTTTGAGAAAGTTCACATTCTGCAAAATATTATGATAGGACTCCTAGGACAAATGGACAGATACTCAGATGTCGTGGTAACTGTAGCCATAGACCTGCCCTACTAGGACTAGAAAGATAACCAGGCTTCCGACAGGAGGCTCTCCTATAACTGGAGTGTGCTCTACTGGCATTTAGAATTCTCAGAATTCTTGATCTCATGGATATAGAGAATTGAGTGGTGGCTAAGGGTGGGAAGAGAAACATCAAGAGAGGGGGGATGTTAAGGCTTCAGTTAGACAGGAGGAAGAAGTTTTTGAGAATTATTACACACCAGAAAGCAACAATCAACGTTATTGAAATATGTTTAAAATGTCTCACCATAAGAATGGCCAGTCACATTGTATAACTTAATCAAAACATCACATTGTATCTCATAAGCATGACATACTTATAAATAAATTTAAAGCTATGAATTGTAAGAAATGAGCTGTTTGAACGTGGCAACAACATCGTTAGCAGTGAGAGGTGGAGACATAGGCTGGGAGGACATGCACGGAACAAGCAGAGTAGTGTCAGGGCTGCTAGGGGTGGGGGCATGGAGCAGGATAGAGTGGTAGGGACAGTCTGTCCTCAGTGGGAACTGTGTGCACGTGCCATAGTGATGAAGCCAGAAGGGATCTTTCTGCCAGTGTGAGCTCAGAACTGACAATATTTTGTCTTTGCTATGAGTGAGGTTCTCTTGTGTTTTTCTATTTGTATGGTTTCCCTGTTCTTGCTTTGGAAAAAATATGGCAAAGACACTTTTCAGTCATTTTTCTGTCCACCAGTGGTAGGTGACCGAAGTTGCAGTGTGGAAGCGTGTGTAATTGGTAAAGTAACGTGAAAACAGTTTTCTCTGATTGTAGCTATTGTAACTCACTTGTTTAAGGAACTTGGAAAGTAAAGGTATATGCACAAAAATTAATGGCAATTTGTAATAACTACTGCTAAAATTATGTCTTTCCTCCCAGTCTGTTGTTTGTATTATGTATGTATGTATGTATGTATGCATGCATGTATGTATGTGTGTGTGTTATAAAAATGTGTTATAGTGTGAGTGGGACTATATTTGTAGTCTTCATCTTTTTTCAGGCTGTTATAATAGAAGTAAACCATTTGAACTACAGCTTATTGAACCCAAACCTGAACTGAATGAAGTTGTTTTCAACTGTAGTAATAAATGCACCCCCACACATGATTATCTGTACCTGACTGAGTAGAAAGGCTGGCATGGTAAGAGGAATTACTGGGTCAATGACTGGAGATCATCCTTTAAAAATAAATATTCAATGACAGTAAATTTTTTTTAGTATTTAAACATAGTACAGGATGGTAATTAGACAAGTGTAGAGTTGGTGCTATGGCCCCTCTTTACCATGTCTTATTATACCATTCTGAAAATGATAAGGTGTCACCACATTTCTTTCATGGTTGTGAATGCCTATTTTACCAATGTCTGACATTCAGTGCACACTCAAAATAGGTAGGTCTGCACATGTGTCTACTCAGTGTATATGAGTTAAACCAAGTGCCAAAACCTGGCCATTCTTACTCTTTCAACAACTCAACTCTAATCCTCCTGTTTGAACTCTCTGCTCTTCTCATCACCTCTCTTCACACCTCTCTCATCTTCTCCACCTTTGGCCATGTGATTGTGTCTGTCAGTGATTCCACTTTAAAGTCTAAGCCTGTCCCTAGGCACTGTATGATATCAAAACATCCCAGATTTCAGAGACAGTTGGGGCGAAGGAGAGACAAATCATGCATGGCACCCTCTAGGTCACTCATTGTCTTCAGATTGGGGAGTCCCTCATTTATAGATCAGTGCAGGGTGATTACATACGGTTTCAATTTTAAGAAATATCTAGTTCTGAGAACCTATTCTTCTGTCTTAGGCAATAAATGGTAATGCTAAGAGTTCATGGTGGTTGTAGTATCAGCAATAATGGCAGCACCAGTAGGTCATGCTCAAATAGTCAGACTTGAGTGGTATTAAAAGATAGTATGTAGCTCAACATCTTTTTGAGAGAAAATGTGAAGATAGTTCTTGGTTGGGCCATACGGCAAACAAAACAGAAATGAACTCTATCCCTCTATAGAGGATTTAGTTCCTTTCAACTGCAATTTCTTTTTTTTTAACTTATTTATTTATTAAAGATTTCTGTCTCTTCCCCGCCACCGCCTCCCATTTTCCTCCCCCTCCCCCAATTAAGTCCTCCCCCCCCCCTCAGCCCGAAAAGCAATCAGGGTTCCCTTCCTGTGGGAAGTCCAAGGAACCCCCACCTCCATCCAGGTCTAGTAAGTTGAGCATTCAAACTGCCTAGGCTCCCACAAAGCCAGTGCGTGCAGTAGGATCAAAAATACTGGGAAGTCACCAAGGCCAGCTGGCCTGGGTCTGGAAAAGCCTGTGATAAAACCGGACTCTCTGAACATAGCGGACAATGAGGACTACTGAGAACTCAAGATCAACTGCAATTTCTAAGTAAATGAGACTTCTGAAGACTTGCCTCTGTGAGGTTTTAGCTCTTTACGGGGTAAACAAATGAGTTCAGTACAATGGAGACGAATGTGCTGAAAATCTATCCAGTGACTGCTAAACCGCTGTCATGGGTGACTTCATTAAAGACATGAAAGGACTCCTCTCAGAATTCTGATTCATTTTTAATTAACAGTGATGTAAAAACTGACCTTCTCTCTCTCTCTGCAGCCAGCGTATGTCCCGAGGAAGCTAATCCCAATCACAATCATCAAGCAAGGTAATTAATCGCTGTATTCAGCAACTGCTGTAGTCGGCTGCTTAGTTGAACACACGGTGCTTGTTTTCTCAATTCTTCTTACAATGGCATTTGGAAAGCATTCGAAGAAACTAGTGTAAGTTAGTAAACTCGTGGTTAATACATACTTTGGGCTGTTACCAATGTGAAAAGCCTTGGCCAAATCTTACCATTTGGGCAACAAAGCAGTGGTACCATGTGTCACATTAAAAAAAAAATAATCAGTTAAACATGTTGGGCTTTACTTTGGAGCTTTACTTAGAATTAAGTTCGCCCACACGAGGAAGACAATTAGGAGACCATTTAGGATACTTAGAATGCAAACTGTGATTTAGTGGTCACTTAGGGGAAGTAAAGATGTCCCACGTTTTAAAAATTAAAGTGTTGTATTTCATTTCTGTGTCCAGTTGTTTTGTTTTGATTTCCAGTTTTCAAATTATTAAAAATGACCCCGTTATTTCCAGAAAAATCTCTTGGTAGAAGAGCTAAAACCTTAAAATAGTTCATTTTAAGGAAACACAGTATCCTAAGTATACACTAAAGTCATGGTCACTTACTGCTGGAATCACTGAAAGATTCTTCGATTTGAAGATAAATGCTTTTTAATCTATTTTTTCCAAGGCAGGGTTTCTCTATGGCTGCCCTGGAACTGACTTTGTAGACAGGATGGTCTTGAATGTATGGAAATCCACCTGCCTCTGCCTCCTCAGTGCTAGGATTTAAGGCATATTCCACCACAGCCTGGCTTATGGTTTCTAATTTTCTATTGTCTTGTTATTGCACTATTGTATGCTAGTTCTTAACTGCCTTTTTGGAAAGGGCGGGATGCATAGGGAGTAGAGACAGATGGGATTTTCCGCTGTTTAGGATGGGATACTAAGGGAGAGTGATAAAGAGATGCTTTGTTACCCCCAAAGCATGGATGGTAAAGCAAGGTATATCAGATTCTTCTGTTGATTCTGTAGCCAATCCATTGAATTGCTTCTGTTCATTGATAAATTTAGATTAATACTGCACAAGGTATTAGCTTTTTATTGGTTTCCAAAATAATCCCCATCACACTATTGTTTTTTTTTTATATATATCTCACCAGTGATTCAGAATGTTACCCACAGGGCTTCAACAAAAGCCCCAGAGAAGACTCCCTTTGGAGGAACAATACTAGGTAAGTCAGTCGTGAAATGTATATCTAGGATAGACAGTCTTGGGTATCTTTTGATGAGAGAGTCCTTGCAGGGATGTGTCCTGTGAGCAAGTGTGCTAAAGTGACTGTCAGTCCATTTCATTTCCTGTTTAATTTCACTTGTGCCCAGTCTAAGCTACCAACCAAGACACACTGCCTTTGTCTTGGCTGTAGCACATGCAGAGGCTTTGTGCCTGTGAGAGCAAACTCTGAGGATTTCTGGTGATAAGCTCTAGATGTGGAAGATACCCATTTAAAAAGGTGCTATCGAATTTTGCCAAGATTTCCAATGTGGAGCTAAAGTTAACCAAAGGAAGGGAAGGACCGATCTTTGAATTCTACTTTATAATTCTCCATTCTTTGATTTTGTCTGGTACATTTTTTTCCTCTTACATTTATATCTCTTTCCTTGCAGTTCATCTTATTATTCCGGGTCTTAATGATTCCACGGTAAAACTTCCCACATCCATAATGCTTGAGATTTCGGATGCACTCAAGGCACAATTAGGTAAGCAGGGGCTTTTCTGTGAGCAGTAGCACTGGATAACACAGCCCTGAGATTACGTGAGGAATATTGCGGATGAGACATTTGAGAACAAAATAATGAGTACAGAGAAGAGCCTGGAGGGTCAGAGACATTAGTATCAACAATTTTGTATGGAAAGCTATTTTATACATGTACCTGCACATGTGAAGGAAAAGTAGGTGTCAGTAACTGAAAGGTACTCATTTGAATAGGTATAATTTTCAAGTAGGGAATTTTTCTTAAATTATAGTCTTCGAAGTTTGTTATAAGGGACCATTAGATATTTTCCATAAGAGTGTATGTAAAGGGACATTAGAATGAGAATATGCTTGAGTCTGGTGTTGCTGCCTTCTTCTAGAAAGAATTGGGAAAATGTGTGTAATTAAGAAAGCATTAGCCAGGGCCCCTGGCAGTGGCAACAGGATTTGTTCCTACTACTTGTGCTGGCCTTTTGGAACCCATTCTTGTTGTGGGAGGTCCTTCCGCTCCCTCAGCCAATAGCCGCTGAGATACCAGCCCATTGGGGCATAGTCTCTCCCTTTTTCTGACCAATGGGCTGGTATCTCAGCGGCTATTGGCTGAGGGAGCGGAAGGACCTTCTGCAACACATTCTCTTTGCATGGATAACTTGCTCAGCCTGGATATAGTAGGGAGGGCCTTGGTCCTTCCTTGGAACAATGTGCTTTTCCCTCTCTGTGGAGTGCATGGGGAGTGAAGCTGGGGCAAGGTAGAGGGAATGGGAAGAGTGGAGGGAGTGGGAACTGGGATTGGTATATAAAATGAAAAATGATAGTTTGCTTTCTTTTTGAAAAAATAAAATGAAAAAAGATTGGTATATAAAATGAAAAATGATAGTTTGCTTTCTTTTTGAAAAAATAAAATAAAAAAGTGAAAAAAGATAACACTAGTAAAATCCCCTTCAAAGAGACCCAGAGAAAATAATTCTAGTTGTTATATTTGACTATCAAATTGAGCTCAAAGTTGTCTCTTTTGTCATAGATCTGAAACTTAGATGATGGCCATTCTGACTGAAGCAGATGGACTCTTAGGATAGTTTTAATGTGCATCATTGATGATTAATGATGTGGAATATTTTTGCATTTCCATGTATATGTATATAGTGTGCATGTATTTAAGTATTTATACTCGCATGTCTAGGTGTATGTGCGTGCGTGTGTGTGTGTGTGTGTGTGTGTGTGTGTGTGTATACATGTGTACGTATGGAGGCCTGAGGTTGATGTGGAAATCAACTTGGATTACTCTTCCCGGTTGTTCAATGAGATTGGGTTTCTTAATCAAATATAAGCTTATTGTTATGATTAGTCTTTGTGAGGCATCTTGTTCTGGGAATCCTGTTTCTGCCTTCTGAGGTTAGAATGATAGATGGGCCTCCCTGCATGCCCACATGGAATTTAGCGGGTTTCAGGGATCTGAAGTCTTTAGCATTATGTGACAAGTGTTTAACCACTGAGCCATCTCCTTAGCTGGTTTTGAGCGCCTCTTAAACTGGTTAGGAAGCAGTTTACAAATAGTACCCATGTTTCTCCTTTTGAGAACTCTGTTTATCCCATTTTTACTTGGCCTGTTTTCTTAATGTTTAGTTTTGTTGTTGTTTTTTCAAGTTCCTTATGTATTCTAGACACTGATTCCCTATCAGATGTATTGCTCAAAAATACTTAATACTTTCTCATATGCTATGGGCTACCTCTTCATAGGGTTATGGTTTTCTTTGCAGTACAAAGGTGTCTGGGTTTTCTGAGACCCCATTTGTTGGTTTTATTTACTGTGGAGTCCTATTCCAAACATGCCTATCTATGCCTAGATGTTGACATTCCTTCTTTATCATCTAATAGTTTCAGAATATCAAGTCTTATTTTGCTTTTAGTTGATGGTGATTAAACATACTTATGATTTATAGTTCAATACAGGTATATAAAGTGTAATGATGAGTTCAGGATAATTGTCATATTTATCACTTCAGACATATGCAATATCTTTGCATTGGGGCACTTTAATTTCTCTCTGCTTGTTATCTTGAAATGTCACATTAATTGCTGTCAGTCAGAATCATCCTGTTGTGCTATAGAGTGTGGTGGGAGTTCTTTATATATTTTAGACACTGAGTCTGTATGTGAAACATGACTTTAAGATGTTTTCTTCCAATTTGCAGGCTTCTATTCATTTTGTTGATTAATTATTTTGCCCTGCAGAACACCTTTTTTTTTTCAGAAAAGTTGTGTAGGCATAAATACTTTTTATGCTACCAAGGGAGAAATAAACTTCCCAATGATAGTTATTACTGCAATTCAGAAAAGTCATATTTTTGAGGCAGTAAATCAAAAAATAATAATAACCCCATTGCCGCAGAGCCGATCATGGGCCACCAAGAAATGCAATAGCTTTTATTCTAAGAACACATGGTGTGAATAAAAGAACAAGAAAGCTAGTAGTATACACACTCGTCTCCAAAGGACTTACAAAGGGCTTGCCAAAGCTAGGACATACCTGCCAAATGTTAAGAGAAACAACAGAGTTGAAAATAGTATGAAAGAAAAAAATGGAGAAAAAAGAATTTACTGAGGTTTAAGCCATACTTGGATGGTGTTTTACTCTGTCACGATAACAGGTGTATAAAGTGTAAACAAATGCTCATGGGTTGGAAAGTGATATCAGAACTCTCATTTAAATATATTACCCATCTTCTAACTACTCTGATATCTGGTGTCTCATATTTAGAAACACTATATACCTTTATAAGAAATTGTGTGAAGGTACAAATATATCTTGAGAAGATGGTTTGCCATGTTTCCCCATTTGTAATTGCATTTTAGGTTAATGTGATTGGCAATTGAAGGCAGCTATTGAATCTAAGAACCTGAAGCAATCCAGTTTGTTGTCCCCTACTGAGTCTAAGATCTTGGGAGAGGGAGAACTGCAAGGGAGACACACACACACACACACACACACACACACACACACACACAGAAAGAGAGAGAGAGAGAGAGAGAGAGAGAGAGAGAGAGAGAGAGAAAGATGGGGGAGAGACAGACAGACAGACAGACAGACAGAGTCATGAAAACACAGGCATACGAAGACAAAGTTCTGAAGTTCGAGAGGTTTCCTAACCAGGCAGAAGTTCCCAAAACCAAGACATAGGATATTACTAAGTGAAAAGGGAAAGAGTAACAAATTGCTCTGATGGAGTTGGGAGCACAAGGTGATGGGGACCTTGCACTTTCCATGTGAAGAGTTCATCTTCCTGAGGTGTACACTAAAAATAATACATACAGAGCTCATGAGAAACTTGTGAGCAGAATTATTCTTTACTTGCTAACAACCAGAATGGTTCTAAGTTGAAGCGGTGGATATAAAAGATGTCCAGAAAGAGAATCTTAGCAAATTTTAGAAATTTTCAAAGAATTTTCATACAATATTAGGTGTGTATGGTTGGTCATTACAGAAAGAGCTCTTGCTCTTTAACTAGACCTGAACAGTGTTGACTGTTTCTGTCACTTCAGCATGCTGTGCAGCCCTCCACACTGGCTTGACAGTGGAGGCCAGCACACTGTACCTTGTCCACTGAAGTGTGCACTCTCAAAGTCGACATCTGCCTGCTGTCTAATTGCTTTCAAGTCTGTAAGTAGTAAGCACATGTTGTGTCCAGACTAAATGAAAAGCAGAAAATGGGCTGCACACGAGTGATGCTGGCTATTGCTGGTTACAAAATTCACATTCTCAAAAAAAAAAAATTGAGAACACAGAGTAGATCAGTTTTCTGCTGGGGATGAGTGTGGCCCAGGGAATTTCAGGAAATGTTTGGAGATATTTCCAGTTTAAAATCTGAGAGAATATCTTTTTCAGAGGTTGGACAATTCTGATTTAGAAGTGTTTTCTTTGAAAAAACACCTAAGTTTTAGAAGCAAGGTTTCCCAAAAGTTGCATAAAGAGAGAAAACCCTCGATTTTGCACCAAATTCCCAGAGACCAAAAGAGAAGCTATGTGTTAACACGTGTTTTTAATAAAATCCCTTGGTTGTCAGTTTGTTTCGATACAAATGTGTCCAAATAGCATACTTTCTTAAGTATCTTATTTGTGGGTTTCAAAATTTTCAGTGTCATAACCTATCAGAATTTTTAAATCATCTATAATAATAGAAACTCTCTATTGACTTTTAAAAAATTAGCCTGTACCTGAATAAAAATCAAGGAACACTTACAGGTCCAACTATGCCTCACAGAAGAAACTTTAAATTGATGAGATTTATTCAAGTGTTATATTGTGATTTTGTCACTCTTGTACCAATGAAGATCTTACAGAATTTCTTGGATTAATAGAGAAGAATTTTGAAGTCTGTCTTCTATTTATACTAGCCGTGAGAGGAATGAACTCTTAAGTTGCCTGGCTGGTAGGAAGAGATGCGTGTTGATATTTTGGAGAGGTTGCTCAATGGTTGAGTGCACTGTTGCTACCTACAGAAGACTCTGGTTTGACTCCTAGCACCAATCTCACAACCATCTACAACTCCAGTCCCCTTTCAGACCTTGGTGGGCACCAGACACCCTCCTGGTACACATACATACAGGCAGGCTCCTACACGCAAAATAACAAGCTGAATCAATAAAAATCGTGGTTGACTATGTTTGTAATAAGTAAGTTTGGACACTGTAATACAAAGAAATGAAGCATTGTTTTTCTTTTTTCAGCTAAGAATGAAACGTTTACATTAGCAGCAGAATCTAAAACGCCAGAAGTTGAAAAAGTTGAAGCCCAGCCAGTAACAGGTAATGAAATTCCTATGATGCTACTGAGAAAGTAGGTGTGTTTCAGATCGTGAATGGAACTACAAACCCATTTTTTAAAGCAAAGAACAAAAAAGAAATCGATTTTGATCATAAGCATAAAACGATAGGAGATTCTAGGGCTTTACATTTTGGGAAAGAACAGATGAACATCGAGCGACTGGATGATGGACATGGCATATGGCATGGAAGATCGGTGTGCTTTTGACAATGACTGAAGATGCCATCAACACTGAGGCAGTTTAACTAAAGGTAATGCCTTGGTTCATGGCCTTTTCATGTGTACGAATACTGTGGACACTTTTCATTGCCCAGTTACCTTCACAAGTGATGGGCATAGCAAAATGTCTTATACCCATCATAAATCCATAACTTGATAGTGACGAAAATGCATTGAAAGAATTTAGAAACAAATGTCCCTACATATTAATACCCTTAATATAGAGAGTATGCAATAGTTTGGTTAAAAAACAAAAACAACTAAAGAAACATGCAGTAAGTAGTGTCTCCATAATTTATTGTTGTTACTACCAAACCCAACATCTGTTCTCCACATAAGTCTGCCCAGCCTAATTCTCTGGGGAGACATTCGTCTTGGAAGGAGTGAGATTTTGCCAGTGTAGTGCCACCTTCTCCAGGAGTTGGTGACACAGACAAGTGGCAAGCACTCCCTGCAGCTCACCATTAGTTAGAGAGCTCCCATCAAAAGGGAACCTTTTGATTCACAATATTTCTGTAGCTTGAGGTCTTTGTGGTATTCTATTTTCACTAAATTTGGGGACTTACGTCTGGTCTAGAGAGGATAGGTTTGGTGCCATAACAAACAACTTGAAGAAGCAGACTGAGCTAGAATGTATTGACAGAATGGATATTGTCTTGTCTTAACAAGAAGTGGGCCTTTATAAGACAGGCGGAAGCTGTTTGAGCCGCTAGCAGCATCCAGTCGAGTGATATTACAAGGTAGTGTTTTGTTTGGTAACTTTGCTGCCCTCAGTTACTGTAGAGAAAAGTGCACTCAGTTAAATGAGCACTGGGGAAATGAATCCATTTCTGTGTCAAACCTTCTGCCCAGCTTTCCAACTCACACTTTCTTCACTTGGCAGAATGTCTGATGAGAGTCTACAGCTTTCCCAACTTTCTGCCAAGCCCTCCCCAGAATTTTCCACTTCAGAAATACTTGGGCAATCCCCACCACGTATTATTCAGTATCATGAGTGTGTGTCCTTGCTTCAAAATTCTGGGGTTTTGTAGAATTTTTAAATCTTAGTAATCATGGTTCATATTTCTCCAAATCTTCTACTCAAAGTCTTCATTGCCTTTAATGGAGCAGCTGAGACAACCCACCCTGGGGCTGAATATTTGAACACCAATTACAGTTCCAGCCTGGATCCTATCGCTCTTGGTTGTTTGTGGTGTTTAGAGGAAATCTAGCAATGTGATACTTGTTTAGCCCCGCTCTCTTATTTTTCTGCTTGCTCATTAACTCCTGTATGTCACTGTAAGCCTACTTACTATAGGCCCCTTGCAAAGCTGTGGAGATAATGAAGAAAGAAGACAAAACACTCAGATTGCCATGAGAAATGATCTCATAGAGAGGAGTTGGGTATGCTTCTGTTGGATACTTAGAAAGTAACCCAAAGTAGAAAGGATGGATCAAGAAGGAGAGGCAGGCAGGCACCTAGGACAAGTAGGTTCACCCTAGGAACTTGGAAAGACGGGTCACGCCTGGGTTGCATCCTTATTTTATCTCTCAGCTCATACAGTTGTTTCTATGTTTTACTTTTCAGTGACTCCAGAAACAGTTTCAAGAAGCATTAAGCCCACAGTGTCTAGTGCCTTAGACACAGCAGAAACGGCGCTGGGTAATACTGAGAACTGCTTTCCTCCTTAAACTAACAGACAGCAATGATGACAACCTCCGGCACTCATGGTTTAAAAACCTGCTTTATCCTGCCTTCCCCCTCCTTTATCCTGCCTTCCCCCTCCTTTATCCTGCCTTCCCCCTCCTTTATCCTTCATCCCCCCCTCCTTCTTTGTTCTTTTCTTTTTCTGGGAATTAACCTTCCTGTCTGTTGGATATGTTCTGCTGATGAGTTAGCGCCATGCCTTGGTACTGGTGACCAACCACAAAGGCAGATGTGGATAAAACACTAACTGCATGCCCCTTTGACCTCTCTTCTGTGTTGGGTTCATGCATTTCAGCCTCCAGAGCTGCTGGAAATCTTGGCTCTCTCTGGGATTTGTCCACATCAGCTATGGAAAGTCTTGTGCCAACTGAATTTGGGAAGAATCACCAGGAGACTTGCTATTTAATGAGAATTTCAGTTGCTCATGTTAACTGCTGTTTCGCCCGAAAGACTCTATCGTGCCTTTCTTGTTTGTTCTCTTCCCTTCAAGAAAAGGAGCACCTTGTGTTATGTTGTGCATGTGTGACGATGACCTAAAAGACACCCTCCGTTTTAACAGCTATGTGACTTTTCCTGGGAGAGCCAGCTCTCTCCCAGACTGACTGCTGGAAGAGGCATAGATTGCTCATTGCACGCGAGTCAATTTGAAGCATTCTATGCCTGGTGAGGGTTATGCCAAGCCATCATGTTGCTAACCATATTCTTCTTTATTGTAGACCTCAGTGAGAAGACCCCAGAAACAGCACATTCGGTTCTAATACCTGAGTCTGAATTGCCTTTGAGCACTCTAGGTAAAAGTCATTGAACACTGAAGCATCAACGAATCCTACTTTGAGAATATAATGTATGGCTAATAGAAATCCTTGATGGCAACTTTATTCAAATCCATCTCCTTATAAGAAAAGAATGAGGTTGACAAATAATGCAGAACAATGAACCTCCCTTTTCTTTCTTTCTTTCTTTTCTTTTCTTTCTTTCTTTCTTCCTTTCTTTTCTTTTTTCTTTTTTTAGATTGGGTTTCTCTGTAGCTTTGGAGCCTGTCCTGGAATTCACTCTGTAGACCAGGCTGGCCTTGAACTCACAGAGATTCGAGTGCCTTTGCCTCCCAAATTCTGGGATTAAAGGCGTGCGCCATCACTGCCGGGTGAACAATGAACTCTAAACTCCTCAGTATGATTTTTATACAACCTTCATAATCTAGGTCCCTAAAGAGGCCTTCCCTGTGACAAAACCACCAGTAACTTTTCTTGGTGTTGATTGTGTATTTGTTGTTGTTGTTGTTATTATAGCTTATTCTTTTCACCAAAATCCTATGTGACTGAACACAGTGATATCTTCTGTTTTTGTCTTCTGTGCTTTTGTTCACTCACAGCCTCATCTTGATAGACAAGGCTTGTTAGAGATTTCTATAGATTCCTTAGGATTGTTAGAATTTCTTTTTGAATGAAGTGTCAATGAATGGAGGAGCATATTTAGAGAGTTGTGTAGTTGTGTTATGATTTTAAAAGTTCTTGTGCAGATATTTTCTAATTCAATATGCTTAGTACTTTGAATTAAAATGAAATATACTTAAAATTACATAAATGAATGTAGTTGGAAAACTCAAGAAACTAGAAAATATAGATGGAAAAGCCTAAATACCTCATTTAGTGACTTGATTATAAAATGCCCAAAAGGGAATTTTATACTGGACATGGTGATCCATGCTGTAATAAGTGAACATAAAAAGCACAGACAGGAAGGTATTGTGAAATCCAAGACTGGACTACATGATCTCTCAAACACAATTACCTTTAGTTGAAACAGAACTAAAAAGAACCACTGAGTATTTGTTTGACATGCAGTGATTTTTATCTTGTATCTGTTGTTTTTGCAACTTTCAAAATTTTCAAACCTTTTTTGTCCTGTTACATGCACTTGTCCTAACTATCCTGTGTGTTTTACTCCAGCCCCAAAAAGGTTCCCAGAGTTTCCTGAGGCAAAACTAGACATCCCTTTGGAAAAACCAGAGGATACCTTGGGTAAATAAAAGGGCTTTGTATTTGGTGTGAAGAATACGCATGGCACGCAGAAGACGTAACCTAGTGACAGATGCTTGTCTGGCATGTGTGAGGGCATGGGACTGATCACCAGCATCACATAAAGTGGGTGATGACTGTGCAGTTCTGTAGAACACATGTGCAGAGTGAGTCCCTTCTCTGTAAAGCTAAATGCACTAACGCAGTGGATGAATTAAGGGAAATCAGTAGTTGGTAGGTTGAAAAAGAAAATAAAAATATTACTTGATTAGATTTCCTACACCTTCATTAAAAGTCATTCCTGTTAATTTTACACAACCTAGCTGGTTGCTGAATAATCATATGCACATTGACTGCTGAGTGTATGATGACTCTTGATTGGCCCATATGAGCTTTGCTGTATAGGCTTTTCTAGTCACTTAACCATCTCTGCCGTGAAACATTCAACTGCTTCTGTCTCTCTTTAATGTAGCTTCAAGTGAAGAGCCGTGGGTGGCACCTGGAGCTAAGACATCTGAAGATTCCAAGTTTGTACAGCCTCAAACTGGTAACTACCTTTCTTAAACAAGTCAGACCATCTTCTGTCTTTACTTATGTAGGTCCTGTTACTAATCATCAACATAGTTTATGGCAGCTCGTGATACGTTTGCTTCTCTTGTTTCTGCTAACGTGCAAGAATGCATCTTTCTCAGCATTAGTTTAGATGATCCGTGGGCCATCCCAATTTATGTTAAATTTCAAATTAAAATAAAAAGTAGGTTATTTGTAATCTCAAGAGTTTACACATTCAGGAACTGACATATTTGTACTCTCCGGTAGTTGGTATGTTTATTATTCCATTCATTTGAACCTTTCCTGTTTTGAAATTTGGGGTATATGTGTGCATGTATTAAGCTGTGTCCTCTTTGGTTTTAATAGATAGCATTATTTCCAAATTATCTGGATAGATTCCTTTGTTTAATTATTACAAACATGGAGAACGCAGACCGTGAGGAATCGCGGATCTCTTAGAAGACGCTAGAAAGGAATCAGTTTTGTCTCGTGTTAAATGATCATCACAGGGATTCTCAGAAGTGTAGCCTTGCTTTTCTTGGTTGAGTTCATTCAGAAAGTGAATTCATCTGTGGATGAATTTCTTCCCAGCTTTTGACTAGATGGCAGGATGAGCAGGAGGGAGCTGAAGCTCTGATTATAAAGAACAAACTGCATTAGCTAGAATGTTGGGAGGGGAAAGTTGGTTGTGTTTTGCCTGTGTTCTGTGTGAATACAGAATAGTTTTGACTTTGTCTTGATCTATTGTCATGACAGAACAAGCCTCATTTAATATTAGTGTCCTTTGAAACTGCTGACATTCAGCAGGGGAAAACCACGGGCCAACTCCTGGATGGTTGGGGCTGCTTGATTAGTCATCAAATGGGATATGTGTTTCTTTTCAAAGATTTATTTAGTTTGGGAACTTACTGGAGATTTTGCCACTTTTACACTCCCTATCAAAACTGCAGAATGAGTGTTTTCATAAAGACTTCTATACCAGTTTTGAGATATAAAGGACAATTGAGAATTCTAGCTTGCATGGTTATGGAAATGAGTTATTTCAATCATTTTTGGCAAAGAAGTAACAGGATATTTGGGGTTTGGAGCATTGTAAGATATATGAGATACATAACCATTTAATATATTCTTCCCCATTCTCAGTCTGCTTGCCCTAATTTTTCACTAGTACATTGAGATTTTATTATCTGGAGTTGCATTTTATATAGCCTTCTGTAATATATGCTAACTAGGGTTGATTTAGCTTGATTTCCTTGGCAAATTTAATTTTCCATAAAGTATATAAAGGAAATTATAAAAAATGTGCTCTATAATCACATACCAGCATGTAAAAGTACTTATAGGTTCTGTGTTTAAAGGAAACTGGCCAGATCTTAGAAATACTTAAGTGTTTGTGACAGTTACTCAGGGTGAAATCTGTCTTTCTAGCGATGCAAGGGAGTTAGTCTTGTGTTCTATTGGATGTCGGCCAGTCTGCTACAATCCAAGTGTTGTCATAGTCGGAGTTCTAGAGAAGTGTGCAGTACCTTCTACCACCCGATAGACTGGGTGTTTATGTTCATGGGACCCGCATGCTGTTAGATCCTTTCTCCCTTCGACCTACATAATTTCCCCATCAACTTTCTCTCTAAAACTCACTGTGAGCCCAATGTCATATGCACATTTCTGAAGTCCTTTGGCATGGTTAGTTCCTTTTATAGGAAGGAGATGCATGAGGAGCCTACATCTGGAGCGGGTACCCAAGCAAAGAGTTAGACTCACTGATTTCTCTCACAATCACTTCAGGGAGTGCCTCCAATTGAAGTGTGAAAGAATGGCCATACAGCATACTTTGGAATTTGGGGAACAGGGTTTCACAACAGAGGATGACATGTTCTTTGTTCAGTCAGTGTGCTAACCTGAATTCCTCTGTAAGCGTGCCCCAAGGACTTGCATAGACTCTGTGAATACAATGATGTCCAGGTCAAGCTTCTGTGTTTTCCAGGGGCAACAGAGCTGGAAACACAGCATAAACCCACAAACAGGCGTGTGCATGATGTCTAACATCCTAACGTGATACAAAGTTCATAGATAGGAACTTTCTGTTTACCACTTGATAGTACCATAAGTATTAAGCTTCTTTAATTTACTTTAGCATTCCATAAAAGACTATTATTTAGAACCATGAAGGATCAGAATCAAAGGAAGAAGATGGCCATAAACCAGGAGTAATTCAATGCATTTGAGTTCCACATTAGAAAACCTTCTGTCTGTCCTTGTCCAAGATGTTCAAACAACTGAGCCTCCTACCCTCAATATATTGAGACTTATTACAAAGACCTCATATTGAGAGTTCTCTATTTAGATCTGTACTCCATTTTTTTTAACTCATTTTATTTTTATTGAGAAAAGGAAAAAAAAGTTTCCCCCTCCTCCCAGCCTCCCATTTCCCTCCCCCTCCTCCCACCCTTCTCCCCCTCCCCCACTCCTCTCCCCCTCCCTCTCCAGTCCAAAGAGCAGTCAGGGTTCCCTGCCCTGTGGAAAGTCCAAGGTCCTCCCCCCTCCGTCCATGTCTAGGAAGGTGAACATCCAAACTGGCTAGGCTCCCACAAAGCCAGAACATGAAGTAGGATCAAAACCTCGTGCCATTGTCCTTGGCGTCTCATCAGCCCTCATTGTTCGCCATGTTCAGAGAGTCCGGTTTTATCCCATGATTTTTCAGTCATAGTCCAGCTGGCCTTGGTGAGCTCCCAATAGATCAGCCCCACTGTCTCAGCGAGTGGGTGCACCCCTTGTGGTCCTGACTTCCTTGTTCATCTTCTCCCTCCTTCTGCTCCTCATTGGGACCTTGGGAGCTCAGTCCAGTGCTCCAGTGTGGGTCTCTGTCTCTATCTCCATCCATCACCAGATGAAGGTTCTATGGTGATATGCAAGATATTTGTCAGTATTGCTATAGGATAGGGTCATTTCAGGTTCCCTATCCTCAGATGCCCAAGGAACTAACTGGGGACCTCGCCTTGGGCTCCTGGGAGCCTCTCTAGGTTCGTAAACTACTTTTAGATGCCAAAGTTTTTGTAAGGAAACCAGGAACTTGCGATTGAAAGAGTTTTTCAGAGAACGCCATTTCAGTGTGGCCTCTTCTCTGACATGTGCCACTTCAGAGTCAGAAGACTGACTTTGGCAGCAACCAGAGGTGATTGCCTACCAAAGCTGTCCACGCAGCATAAAACTTCTAGTGGGCGGCTCCTTCTCAGCTTCCTTTTCTTTACCACTCAACTCCCACAAAGTGTGGAAGCAGAAACATATAGAGACTGGCAGATGTGTGATTTGAATCCCAAGTAGGTTCAAGAAAAATATTTGAAAGTAAGAGGTTCCTAACAAATGGGAATTTGCAGACATGACCCATAATTGCTAGAGGATTGTAAAGTGTTCTATTCCCTATGAATGCCTGTAGTAAGAACTTAGGTAAGAAGGTGTCAGCCTGGTTTTGAACCTCAAAGTGTAAATGTGAGAAATAGAGTTAATTAATAAATACCACTTGGAACATAGTACAGAAAAATAGGATGTAATATCACTAGAGGGAAAGGAGATTTGGGAGTTTACATAAATGCAGCCATGGCAGTTTTCAGAGGCATGACTACAAAGTCAAGGTAGTAATTGATAATTCATGACAAGAGAGGAATACGTAAAGTCGGTAGCCTCTCCTAACTTACTCAGAGGTGGGCAGAGCCAATATCGCCAGGTCCATGATGAGCCTAAGGCAGACCAAGGGCTAGAAACTGGCAGCATTTTCATCCTTTTAAAGGATAGTCACTCCCACGGGGGCCTTTAAAGTCACAACTAGGCTAACTTTGCAATAAAACACAAGGTCGTCATGTGAGAAGATTCTCACAATATGTGCCGATTTTAGTATAAGGATGGATAGCCTATTTTTGAGGCCTTTGTAGATTTACCTTCACAAATGACACACATCTCCTGTCTCTTGTGGGATAACATGAGCTGTTCTCTTCTTTGAGACTCTCTCTCACCATCTCATACCATCTTATGGCTTCAACCAGCACTGGTTTCCCATCAGTAAATTATCATCAGATTATACATCACCAAATGAATAATCTTCCTGTGTGTTACCACCATTTTATTATATTTTCTATAAACCAATTTGAATGCCCCAAATAAACAGAGTCTACCTTTAGTTTCTGCTTTCTCTGCCTCTTATTCCTACCGTGAGTTCTTTGAGTGCAAAGAGATTTTAGTACTATATTTACTTGCAAGTTCATCTTTTATGTGAACATGAAATTTATCCCTACATCGAAAGTTATTTTTTAATTCATCACACGTTCTTCCTTTTATACCAAATATAAAATTACCTTCAAGCCTACCTACCTACCTTATAGAAGGGGTCATGACTCCATGGAGGAACGTCAAAAGTTGCCTCTAAATAAAACCAAGAGGGCTGGTGCCAAGAATGCTCTGATCTTAGCCCTGTTGTCCTTCGCTGTGGATTAGGCTGAAAATCACTAAGTCACCAGTTCCCCCAAGTGAGCATGGGCGATTGTCTTTACTACTGTAAACCTCAATCAACCTCATTGTCTAAGGAATCTACAAAGTGGTGGCAGTGCCTGTCTCACCTGTGTCTCGGGGATGGGAACAAGGTTAGAGAAGTTCATTCGTGAGACACTGGTGCTGTGCCAGCAACTTCTATTAAGCAGAAAGAATAAACAATGGATGCTAAAAGTACCCTCAATGTGCCTTTACTCTCCTCCTTTAGAAGCTTCTTCTGTAGCTGCCATGGGACAAGTAGGTTTGCGTTTCTGCTTGTTGAAGCTCTTAGATTTATAACTGGCATCATTTCATTATAAATAAATGGCGTGAATTTCACAGGATTCTGGGAACCAGGGCCTTAGCATGATATATGTCTTAGTTAGGATTTCTATTGCTGCAACAAAACACCATGACCAAAAAGCAATGTGGGGAGGAAAGAGTTTATTTGGCTTACATTTCCTGATCATAGTCCATCATTGGATGAAGTCGGAAGGAACTCAAGCAGGGTGGAAACCTGGAGGCAAGAGCTGATGCAGAGGCCACGGAGGGGTGCTGCTTACTGACTTGCTTCTCCTGACTTGCTCAGCCTGCTTTCTTATAGAACCAGGATCAGGGATGGAGGTTCTGGGTTCTATAAGAAAGCACTCATTAGTCAACTATCAATCACTAATTGAAAAAATTCATTACAACTGGATCTCACAGAGAGACATCTCCTCGACTGAGACTCCTTCCTCTCTGATGACTTTAGCTTGTGCCAAGTTGACACACAAAACCAGCCAGTATCATATGTAAAGTCCTGCAGCTAAGACAGCAGTGGTGACTATCAACCAGGAAGAGAGGAGGTTAACAGCTCCAAACTCTAGTACCTGCGTAAAACTTTGCTTAAGACACCACTGAAATATGTCTGGAAATAATGCACAATATACAAAATTAACTTGTCTTTTTTTCACCTTTTCTATTTTCAAGAAACTCACGATCTTACCTCAAGCTCAACAACTTCAGATGAGACGGCAAAAGAGCCCCACACAGGTATATGCAGCCTCTCATGATGCCTTTGGGTCCTCGGTGTTAGTATACTTAGTGGGTGCCTTTTAGTTTTTGCAAAATGAAGGCGTGTGCTCTCTAGAGTTTTATGGTGGGCAGTAGCTGTCTCCATTTATGTCAGGGAGACAGTTCCTGTCCATACTTCCCACTTTGGGATTATTCCTTTATTTTTATCAGTAAATAAACTCTGTCATACAAGGGAAGGGAACAGATAGACAAGGCTACTACTGGGGGAAATAATGGCATCTCTCTTTGTCTACAGTCATTTTAAAGAATATTTTTGTATTCCTAGACAGTGATCTGTAGGGCAGTGAATCTCACTGGGGATGCTTTAGGATCTTTCCTCTGTACGGGAGCTTTTGGCATTCCATAGAGACACAAAATGGTCTTAACTACTGGGGGAGGTGCATTCCATCTAGAACACAGAGACTGAGGATACACTGCTGTGCACACAGCAGCTTGTCACCACTGAGACTTCTTGGGGCCTAAGTGTTGTACTGCTGATATGAGAGCCCCATGCTAAAACAGGGACATAGTTGGTCACAGCAGGTGTGTCTAAGTTTTGCATTCACTTACCAACGCATCTACGATGGGTTTAGTCCAGTCCAGCAGCTCCTTTTTGCCATTGTGTACCAAGCATCTACTAAACCAGGCACTGTAGAATTCAAAGTCAAACTGGCCAAACAAAGGTAGGTGCCTGTTTTTAGTTTTGTATGTGTAGTCTTATATTAGAATTATTTATAAGGTAAGTAAAGATAAATGATTTTAAACAGTTGAAAATAAGAAAAGTAATTAAACTGAATCCTCATAGTTCGGTTCCATTACCAGTTATGAAACCAGCAGAAAAGTGATTGAAAATAAGTTGAATATGTAAAGCTGTTTTATGGGTTCTAATATTGCAGAGTAAGCATCTTCAATTCCTATTGAGTCACTGACTTAAAGCATTGGCTAGGAATCTCTCAAGTGTTGCTGATATTTTCCTTTTATGGGACATTATTTTTTTACTCTGTATTTTATCCCTACAAACTTCTATTGCCTTTATAAATGTTGGCATTTATTCCAGCAGCAACAAGTGATCCTACTCTGGACTCTGTCCCACCTAAAACTCCTAGAACTCCTGAACAGCCAAAGGCAACACTGGGTAATGTTTTTAACAGAAATTCTGTGCTTTGTTTTCCATTAAAAACTCCATAACCCATATGGACGCCATTCTTCCAAAATAACCATTCTATCCCATTTCATTTAATCATTTGCTTCTTTTCTATTTCTGAATATAGATGTATGATATATTTTTATGCAGGCATCTTATATTCCATTTTATGTATCTATCACTTTCCCATACTAGAAGAAAAAATGGATTTCGATCTTAACATTGTGAAAATATTCAGAAGTTGCACGGGCACCTTTCTCGTCTGCATCATCTCGTGCCATGAGCTATGACTTGCATCACCTCATTTTCATGGACCAAGTCTGCCTGTGCTGAGCAGTTGCCATCCTTTCCCCTGCTTCATGTCATAGTGTCATCTGCTAGCTGCACGACAACGTGTATCTTCCTTTTTAAATCCGTGTAGCATGCACAGTATGCCATCTTGAAAGCATGTTGACATTCCTAAAATACCTCATTTTTTAACTGAAATTGCTTGGTGGGATGGGGGTGTTTTTGTTTCCAGCTTCAAGCGAAGCATCATTTGAGCCTCAAAATGTGGAAGTCTTCACCAGTCCTGAAGTACAACCAACAACAACTGGTAACTGATTTCATTGTGTAGTGCACGCTTTGAAAGACAGGTAAAGCGACAGGAAAGAATCAGTCAGATTGGCCTTTGAGCATGCTTTTATTCATAAACACTTCCCTTCCTTCTCTACATGGGATTCTGCGTCTAAGAGCAGAGTTATCCATAGTTAGCCTCATGATAAATCTCAAGGAATTTAATACAACCTTGATAGCTTTGAAAAGTAGTTTCCTTCACTGCTTTCAACTTTGTCGACTAGAAAAGTATAGCAGAAGCATAGGTGATGATTATTTTAAGTATATTTCTTTATAGTGAACATGGTAATAGTGTTTAAGCCACAGTAGTTCAAACAGGAATATCAAGTAGTGCCTGAAATCCTGGATATGCTGAAGAAAGATGTACAAAAGAGCTTGTGTCTTATAAACTATCTAAATAATAAAAGCCATTAGTGTCTGGTGAAGGTACAAATGAACTCCAAGATTAAGATGTTTTAAATTTCCCATTCTAAAGTCTGAAATATCGACTAGCTTTTTCCCTGCTATTGATGTTAATATCTTAATTGAGTTCTTAATTTATCTTAATCCAGAAGGCCTCCAGGGTGCTCAGTCATTGGTACATTTATTTGAATAGTATTTCTTCTCAAGTATGAATTTAAGTTCTCTATAAAAATGTAATTCTTTTGGGCCCAATGAATGCTTATGCTTATTGAGCATGTACTCTGCAGAAAACATGACACGGACATCAGGAATTCAACAAAAATATGCACTCATTCTTGCATTCAGTAGGGTCATGTATTCGTGTTTACAGGCACATGTGACTGACCTTTGAGAAGTGTCACTTACCAATGCTATATTGACTCCTCTTTCAGCTCCCCAGCAAACTACGTCTATCCCCACCACACCTAAACGACGCCCCAGACCCATCACGCCAAAAGTCAAACCTGGTAAATAAATGTCTCTTTAACTTTTCAGGTTACTTAAATCCAAATAGATCATGATCATCTCTCTATAGTAAAAAAGAAAATTATGTTTTTCTGTAGGACAATTTCTCTATAAAAATTTGAAATAGGTAACAGTAATACAAATGAGAAAACAGGGGTCTCCAATAGAATGTTCCTGGATGTGAGGATAAACCAGGAAACAGGTCCTGCCCCCACAGCTCACAATGTGAGATAACTACTGTACGCTGGGTGTGCACATTGATGCACGGTGTCTGATGGACCAGTGCCTGCCACACTTTCCGTTTTGCCATTGGGCATGCTGATGTTAAGGGAATGTTATTGGGATGCTATTCTGGCCTTCAAATTGCTTATAACCCGGAGAGTAACAATAGTGAAAATGAAACACAAGATCATAAAACTCCAGCCTGTAGGACTTGTGAGAGACTGAGTTAAAATATTTGTAGTGTTCAGGTGGAGAAAATGGGGAAGGGAAGAAAAGCTATTGCAACCTGAGGGGTTCATGTAATTTATCAACTTGGAGGTGATGGTTTTCATTGCTTAGCAGTATTCTCAGGCATTACTCGGCAAGTAGACTTCACTCACAATTGTAGTGTAAATAGTTTTCTTACCTGTATTTTTGTGATGGCTTTGAAATTCTTTCCTTGTAAAGCTTGCTCAGTGCATACTTTGAGAGCAACGACTAAATATGGCATGATTTTGAAAGGTTACTCTGTTCCTTCTTGGAAGATATTTTACTATATCTACATTGAACTATTTTTTTTTCTTTCTATCACCAAAAAGAACTACAAGTCTGGGGACACATACTGTGAAATTTCTTAAAGTCCTGAACCTACTCAATACCATATGTGTAACTTCAGATCGCTAGGGAAGCCAGTGCTCTGGCTCCTTTGTAAACTGTCAGTAGCTGTCTCTTCTCTTTGCTCATCTGGAAAAATGCAAAGTATCTCACAGACTGCATGAGTTCTGTAGCTATTTTGGTTGTGAGTTAGTAGATCTGAGCTCAGATTAAGATGCTGTGTAGGACCAGCACTTGGTAGATGCAAACTCTGTTACATATACAATTCTCAGGATTTTTTTGGAAAAACATCTTGAAGCTCAACTTAGGAGTTCTTTGAAAAAATAACTTTTAATTTGGTGTTATTGGATTTTCTTTGTGTTTCAGATCATTGCGTTATGCCTATAAATCATTGCCTAATATAAACGTACCCCCATTGCCTAATAAATATGAAGTAAGAGTGAAAAATAACTAGACTGACTTAAAAGCATAGACTGAAGTCAGTCTTTGAGTAGTTGCTAGAAAATGGCAGAGCTCTCGTCCATAAATGGTTCTTGGTGCCTGGAGCATGAAATATTCTTTTAACGGAATATTTCCAAAATCTTCCAAGATGATAGATTCATTCTATTGAATTAGTTTAGCATTTGATTTTCCTTTTGAGTTTTTTTATACCAAAATAGGAATTTGTTGATTATTTCATTTGTTTTTAGCTCAGTAAAACCCAACTAATTTCTTTGAAACTTAAAATATCTCTTATTCAAGAAGCGAAGCCAAATGTGATCATTTCTCTGATCCTCATTTTTAGTGTTCTAAAAATAATGCTGGAAAATTGATTTATGCGGCTCTTTGGTTCAGGGGGTTCTGATTTCTGTGTTAGTGTCTAATGCAATTTTTCCATGAAAAGTGCAAAAGCACAACCAGATGACCTCAGGGCCACCAGCCCTTTGGTATTATCTTAGTGTTGCTCTGAGCTGCGCAGTAGGCAATATGTTCATGACCATCCCACAGAAAACACAGAAACAGTCATGGGAGTGAGCAAGGATCCCTTGTCTGTATTACAACATACTTTCCAGTACCAAATTGGACTGGAATCCCAATGCTCTGAATATCAGCCTTTCAGCTGGAGGCGGGAATGGGTTCTGCCTCCTAAGAACCCTTCTGGTTTGGAGTGTCTCATTTCTCGGGGTACAAGACCAGAAAGCACTGTTTCTTCAATATGCCAAGCACTCTTAGTTGGGGGTGATTTTTGAAAACTGACTTCTGTGTACTTCTCAGGAGATTTTATGGTGTTTTTCTAAAGACTATGGGGTTCTTTGGTAGGAGAAGTCTTCTCCCAGCAGTTCCCTACCAAGGGATTGTGGCTCATACCAAATGATCCAATATTGACCTTTTATAGTTTATCTGGAACTTACACAACAGTGTTGGATACTGATTTATAAAATTAGCTATGGAGAGCTTTGTCAGTTCTTACTGTCATCGCCATATAAATGTTAAACTTTTAGCTCTGGGGAGAATGCATTCGACAGTCTGCTGTGTAAAGGACTCTCAACTTGGATTTCCATCTCTAGCGTGTTTACACAGTGAAGTTCCTAAAGCAAGGACTTCTCTGCTTAAGTGGTCAGGATTTATTTTGAAGATGGCAAAAGACATCAAAGTAGCTGCTCAAAAAACGAATTTATGTAGCGACCAGATGGAGGTGTCAGATCAACAGAAGTAGAACAGCGGTTCTCAACCTGGGGGTTGAACGATTATTTCACAGGGGATGCATAAGACCATAGTAAAATATCAGATATTACGATTCATAACGATAGCAAAATTACAGGTATGAAGTAGCAACAAGAGTAATATTACAGTTGGGGGTCACTACAACATAAGTACTGTATTTAGGGTCAGGGCATTAGAAAGGTTGCTAACCTCTGAAATGGAGGCTTGAGCAAATGTGTAAGGTTGAGGTTGCCAAATGAGAAGCGTGGGGTACAAAAATCAAGTGTCCTAGCAGCTTACATCAAGAACTCTGCCAGTGGGAGGGGATTAATGATCGTGTGTTTCAGAAATCACTCTGAGGGAGGTTTGCAATGAGAAAGCAACTTTTATATTTATGCTGCAGTTTCACCGGAGGCTGCTACCAGGCAGAGGGAGAAAGGGGCTGTGTGTGCTGGTTAGCAAATTAAATATTTCTGCTAATTTCCCAATAAGATTGGAAAGCATCAAACACTGTCTTATAAATATTGGTTGACACTTATGAATGGTAAGTCACATTTTCAGAACTAAATCAAAAATATTAAGTTAGAGACATGTTGCTACTCTTCTAAGTGTTTGAATAGACACTTCTTAATTAAACATTTGGTTTATTATTTATTTATTTATTTATTGCCAGAACTTTTATTTGGAAGCTGGTGTGGTTGTGTTTCTTTGGTTTCTAAACTTTCTCATAGCCCTGGGGTCCGACTTTCTGGCTCTGACTGTCGGCATCACCACCTGAGGGAGTTAACAGCCACACCTCACAGCAGAGGGACGGACGTTGAGTGGCCCAAGACTATGGTAGAGCGTATGGGCTGCATCTCCGTAGAGCTCTTCTTTAGCGACAGACCCTTGTGTTACTTGGGCTCTGTAGAAGGTCTCTGTTTCCAGCTGAAGTTCACGAGAGCATGTAAACCACCAGCAGAAGACTCGCCTGGCTGCCCAGCTCTCCTCCTCGGCCTGTTTTTCTGTTTCACTTTCCATGTGAGATGCTTCTTTTCGGTGGTTTAGTCAGTGCAGCTCCACATTGGTTTTGGCTAATTTATGTGCACAACCCGGTACATTTCTGGAAAACCATAGCCACCTCCTCTCTTTTGTCTTTCCCACACAATGAGGACGGTCACCCTCCTGTGTTGATCCACAATGCGGTTCCACACAGCTCTCAGTTGCCACATTTTCTTTCTTTTTGAGTTGTGAAAGGAAGTCATTTGGTTCCTAGAAAGCTGCTCTGTGAACGCTTCTGTTGTCGTTCCCCTCCCCAAGTCACTCCTGGCTTTTTCCAAACCTACTACTCTTCAGATTCAGAATTATCAGAGTTAGCTCTAGACAAAGTACTATCCACACTGTAAATAAGGGAAGGATTAGCATTGTGATGAAAGCCAGCGAGTGCCAAATCAACTTGTTTCTATAAGAAATAAAAGTTCTCCTTTTTTCCTATGCTTGGAAAAAAGCATTAATTTTTAACTTTCTTCTTGAAAGAAAATTCCTTTGAGCAAACTAGCACAAAACCTACTGGAAATAAATGGCCTGTTGTTTTCCCTTCATAACGTAATAGATGTAACCAAATAGCCAGGAGGAAATAAATAGCTTCTTCGCTTCTCATATGACCTCCGGAGGGTTTGTTTATCCATCCACAGATGGCATTTAATTGATGAAGCAGTTCGCGAAACCTGAGACTATGCGTGGATACTTAATGATTCGCTAACAAACATAGGATTTGGTTTACTAGCAGTATGTACTTCTGACCACGGGGCGTATCATCTGAGCATGTGTGGCCCTTTTCACACTTACGATTCTTATCTTTTGTGAAAGAACATGAGGTCCAGCCAAGCTGGGTATCATTCAAAACTAACAGAGTACAAGCGTGTAACTTTGTCTCACTTCCTGAGGAGAACGTGGTTGCTTTGTAAGAAACAAAGCATCAGGTAGCGAGGAATGCAGAACACCTTCAAGGAGATGTCCTCCGGATAGACATCGGATGTTTGTAGTGAGAGCCGCAGCAAAGATGAACGACACAGATGAGAATTCTTAATGCTTTTGCTGTGGTTTGCGCAATGGATGTGAGATGAGTAACCCTAAGCCAGAAGAGCCCAAACCTCCATCAGAGAGTGACCTTGTCCTGTGGGAAAGGATGTTTAATTTCTGCCATTCAGCACTGTTTTGACATTATTTGCTTTCATTGCAGCCCCAAAACCTGAGACTCTACCATCAGCACCATCAACAAAGGGTAAATTGCTTCCTTGACTCATCGTGAAGACGTGGCCTGTATCACTTGGTGTTCAACTTTGGTCCTACATTTGCTTTACTTTTAAAACACCTAATTGTCCTTCAGATGTTTGTTTGCTTATTTGTTTGTTTTTTCAGTGATTTCTATTAGAATATTGACCCTGTGCCTGGGTTTGGCTGAATAGAGGCTCTGGGACACCCATGAAAGCCACACCGCCTCGGATGCGGGAGATTCTTTATTGTTCTGTCTTATATTCAGGAGATTTTCCTTAGCTTCTTCTAACTTATTATTTCCAGTGGAGACTTCTGGCTTCCCCAGACATAATTGTGCTTCCCTCTGGGAGTCTTTTTCTCACTTTTCAAAATTCTAACTTTTGCAGACTTTCTTGAAAAGCGTGATGATCATTCCAGATATGAAAACTGTGATGTGTCACCAGATCATCCATTAGGAGGTGGAAAAAAGAAGGGAAAAGAACAATAAAGCCAGCCCCTTATAGCTTTTTTTATTTTTCATCAAAAGAGAAAAAAGCAAAACCAAACTAAAACCAAACCAAACAAAGAAAGATCCCTGTTCTGGTGCCATCCTAGCCATTGGCCACATTTTCCTTCACAACACGAGCTCCTGGTTAGTGTGTTGTATCTGCAGCTTCCAAAGGCCCATGCCTCTGCTCCTTTTTCCATTTCTTTTTCCAAACTTTAACTGGCTACATTTTTATTCATTTTGTCTAAAACCACAGGAATTGATTTCAGTAGAAGAGGTTACTTCTCGTGTGGATAAAATTTCACCACTTAGAATTTGCTCAAGCGAGAAGTTAAAATTGAGCATATCCCACATTTAAGTTGATTTTACATTTTTTCCTTGACTTGGTTCCTTCTTGATAATCTTGTGTGTGGTTTCAGGACCCAGAGCCCTGGGAAAGTGACAGTAATAATATTATTTGGACACACAGTTACTGAGTGGGCGACTCCTTTCTTCTTTTCTTAACACAATTGGCATATTCATATTCATGGAGTAATATATCTGTATCCACTTGTTTATGTGTTCTTGGTTATCCTTAAAATGTTTAAATCCTTTACCTCTGGCCTCTGAATATAATCTCATTTCAAAAATGTTTCCCTTGATATAATTTCTAAATTCATTTTCCCTATTGTTTACATGTGGACTCTTGTAAACACCAAACAGAAAAATCTCCTGCTTTGGAATATTAAGCCAAATTTTAATATTTTACTCGTGGTGTGTCTGAAAAGCAGCCTTCTATGTGTTCCTCCTGATGGTATAGCTTTGAAACTTTGTGTGACTGTCTCCTCTAAACTATACATTACTTTTGAGATTTTCCAACACCTATCTCAAAGTGAAAGAATAAGGAGACCTCTTAGAAAATGTACAAATCTTTGACCAAAAACTTTGAAGAGAAAGGGAACAAGGGGAGGAGAGAAAAGAGAAAGAGAGAGAGAGAGAGAGAGAGAGAGAGCGCAAAACATCAAAAGGAAAAATACCCTAAATTCTAATTTCATGCAGTGATGGCAGAAAGTAGCAAAACAGAATGTGTCCAGCTTGAATCAAAAGGTTTAACTGTGTGGCATGTAACATTTCCTCTCAGTTTGTAGCTCCACTCTTTCTCTGCTAACTAGAGATTTTTCCTTTCTTTAGCTCCACCAAAGACCAAACGACCAGGTCGCCGCCCCCGTCCTACAACCACACGTAGTCCAGAAACGCCTGAGCCCCAAACGGGTAAATGTGATACTTAGGGTTCCGATGACCAGGGATGCAGTGCTGTGTCTTCTAGTTTGTCAGCTGCCAAGCCCCAAACAGCTGGGCTTTAGGGAACAATATGGTTGGTTTGTATTGTTGAACATCTGTGTACTCACTCTCTACATTCATATGATATATGATGATCTACATCTCTATTAGTGGTTAGTAAGCACACAGTGTGAAAAGCTGGCCCACCTGGTGGATTTTTAAAGCAAGAATCCTTCGAGTCTCACAACTGGTACATACCCAGGGCAGTTGAGGTGTGGGAAAGTGAGAGGGAAAAGGTGAATGGGAAAAGCAAAAGGGAAATTACATTCAGAAATAATAGCACAGTTTGTGTACAGCTTCTGCCTTTAGGCACAATGTTAGCCTCTTTGGGATCTCATTCCGTGGTATAACCAGTGTTCTTGGTGCTTTGCTTCCCTAGCTCTGGAACCTGCCACGGTGCCACCGGAGCTCTTGGTACCCACAAATGGTAATTCTACATCCTCTCTTTCTTTCCTGTCATTTTTTTCCTTTCATGGTCTCCAACCAAGGCATGACTGAAGTTCTGTCAACCCATCACACCGTAAACCATGCTTTCCTTCTTTCCTGTGTGGGTGGGAAGAGCCTGAAGACTGGAGAATTCTTTCTGTACAGTCTCCTGCAGTAATGCAGGGAAGGTCTGTGGCCGTGAGCACAGCTTCCCACTGCCCTGCTGACCTTCTTCCTTTAACCATGTCCCGGTGTTCAGAGAGCCATCTGTTCTTTTTCACGGTTGTCTGTAGCCACCCTGGACTAAACAAATGGCTTGCATTTGTCCAGTTTTGTGGCTAAAATATCATTGCTTTATTCATCAAGCCTGTAGGACTCTGAAAAGCTACACATTCCTATTGGGGAATGTTTTTAGTATGTTTGGATACCATAGACTGATTATGTTCTGGGGTCCAGTATAAAAGTGATAGTTGTCTTTGCAACTTGAGAATATTAAAAGATCCAAGATGGTTTTTTATTATTTATAGTGGTAATGTCATGCCTATAATTGTTTCATTGTAACTTCTCAGAATTCAGTTGGTCTCTGATTATTTTAAGAAATTCCCCACATCAGTAGTCATGCCATTACTTCTTATGTTAACAGCAGATGTTTATGGGTAATTTCCCAGGTTCCTTCTTAATCAGCTTTAAAATTCTCCGTCTTATGGTTTTGTGCCTAAAGAAAGTTGCCAGCAAAGCAGAAAACTTACCTACTTAATTCTTCTTAAATGATGTATTTAAGAAGGAAGTCACATGATAGTTAGCACTTTGACTCAAAGACACATTTTAAGCATTTCCTTAAGATGTTATTCTGGGGGCTGGAGCAATGATTCAGAGGTTAAAAGCATTGCTCTTTTAGAGGTCCTGAGTTCAATTCCCAGCAACCGCAGGGTATTTCACAAACATCTATATTGAGATCTGGTGCCCCTTCTGGTGTGCATGCATACAGGCTTGCAGAACACTGTATAAATAATAAATAAGTAAATCTTAAAAAAAAAAAAGATGGCTCTTCCTGGGAAACCAGTGGTGCAAATGAATGACAAAAATGAGCATTTCCAGTATTCTTGGAACTATTTTTATATCTGCATTGACTTTTCACAGAGTGTTTCTCAACTTATGCAGCCTTATTTTTGACAGCTACAACCATGACCGTTATGCTAATTTTAATACCTTTTCTTTTAGTTCCCAAACCATTCCAGAGACCCAAAGCAACACGCAGGCCAGAGGTACCCAAAACCCAGCCTGGTAATCAACACTTCCAATGCCTTGGCATCTAAATGAGAAAAGAATATACAAGTAACATTGATTTCCACGCCAAAAGCTTAGCTGTGACACTGATTATGGTACCTTTCTCCCTTCAGACGTAAAACCACCAGAGCAATGGCTTTCTAAGCCCAAAGCCACACATGACACGCCACCAACTAAATCCGGTAAACATTATTCCCACTGTCTTGCCTAATACACTTTATCAGTGGAAATGATGGCTTATAGATTGCACTAATTCCAGAGCTGAGTATCATAATTTTGTTCTTTATCTTCTAGACATATTCACACTACGCTTAAGAAATGAGAATCTTTTATACCTGACAATCTTATAAATCCCACACTTTAAAAAAGCATCTTTATGTCTTTCCGAGTTTATAATGAATAGAAGCTAGACTTTTCTGTACCTGGGACAATTTAAAGTGGCTTTGCTAGCTGTTTGTAGGTATTCCACACAGGAGGGGCCATGTGTTCCTCTTTCTTGGGCACAGCCACAGAGAGACTTGTCACATAGGGATCCTCTGAACTAACCTGTTGGCATTTTAAATAAATAATTACTAACCGGGTGGTTTTCTACCATATTTTTTAAAAAAGCCAAATTTATGCAACAGTTTTGAAAATTCTGTTTACTACTGAACTGCTGTGCTAAGATTCCAATTAGTAGAAAACTAAGAGATCCTTCTCATTATAAACAAGCCCTTCATATAACCAGTTTACATCAACCTAGAATAAACTGTGCCCAATGTCTCCGAAGTAAATATTACAAATACTTAAGGTTGCTTTTCTCTTCATTTGTGTCTTCTGTTTGTGATCCAGCCTATGTGCCTGCTACAGTCGGAACTGAAGACCCTTCTCTAGCCATGAGTCACAAGTGCTTTCTTAACTGACGCTCCCTTGAGATTTCTCCTCTCATCTCTCTCATTGCCTGTATTCTTAGTTCAATCATCATTCAAACATTCCTTATTTATTTCTTAAATGTATTTGCTATTTTTGGCACTGGCCATCTTAACATCATGACAGGCATTCATGCATCTGCACAGCAAATAGCACCTGAGCATTACACTTCTTTGACCTTCGGGGTCAGATTGCTTGTCCATACTGCTAGAAGCCAGAGGGCTCTGTCTATTCGTCTTTCAAAGCAGGGACTTTCTGAAGCCTCTACTGTGTGTCCATGGGGGCAAGGAGAGCTGGCTGGAGCTTGTGGTGATGAGCCACCCTTTCTGACAATGGCCTTTTCCCCTTGATTCCACTTGATTCAGATGCAAGTGGACCTTTCTGTGGAGAATGCATCTTATGAAAAGAAGTTCTAGCAATGTCTTCCTCATCTTGTCCCAGCTTCTTCCCATCTCTGTGTGTCATTAGCTCAGCCACTTCTCTCTGATGCATTTTAACCTGGCTTCACACTTTGGTTCCCTGAACCATCTAGGAAAGTCATTCTCTATACCAAGGCTTAGAGGACATTAGATAATGAGAAATTTGAATCTTACATGGAATCTCTTAGCTTTAATGAAAAAAATACATTTTAATGCCAGTTGTAATTCTTCATTTTTGATCTATGAAGAATTATTTAATTTATAGAAATTATATATACTGAGATTAAAAGGTTGCATCATTTCCCTTTTATTCTAAATTATTTTTATTCTTTCAGTGGGTGGGGTGGTTTCTAGGAATTAAAACTAGGGTCGTATTTGTGCTGGCCAAGGGATCTATTGCTGAGCAATTTCCCCAGCCCTCCATATCTTACCATACACTGGATAATTCCAGACAAATTATCCATTTGAGATAAGTAAATACAGAAACATAATACGCATTTACCTCTATCTGTATGATTGTCACAGTTGGCAATACTTTTCCTATTCTCACAACCACCACTCCTCCAAGAGATACAACAGAAGCCTCTGTAGCCATTTTCAGAATAATTTAGTATAACCCATCATACAACCATAGAAGCAGAGTATCAGTATAGGTAGAATCAGATAGTCAAACATAGGAAAATACTTTTCAGTAATGTCAAAGTGAAAGTGTGTATGGGTGCAAGAGGGGTAGGCACAGAAACTGGCCATCTGCTAGCAGTAATAGTATTCTCAGACTTCATAAATGCTTTTAAACACAACAGTCTTATATTCCTTGCCCACTTCTATGTCAGAACTAATAACTTATAACTTAATAGGTAGAAAATTTTTGGAGTCGATTAATTTAGCAGGTCACTAGCTTCCACCAATCTTAAGATTAAGAATGTCATCAGATAGTATTCTGGGCCTGTAGAATAACTTCCGCCATCTTGCTGGACCTGCCTCTGTGATGTATCCACCAATGTATTTTAAATTTGCTTTGATTTATTACTTTCTTTGTTCTTTAAAACTATAAAAAGCTTCAGGAAACCATTTCCACATCGGAATTTAGAATTTGGGGTAGCCTAATTCTATGTTTCTGGGCCATGGTCACTCAAAATATCTATCTATAGAATAAACTACCTCTTATTTCTTTAAGAAAACAAGAACAGGCTTAAAACGTTTCCTCTTTAAGATAAATCACTTTGAACATTTCTTAACTTCTGTCTTGTATTGCTTTTGGCCAGTCACTACCACAGATGTTGAACCTGTAATTATGAGTGAGAACCAGGGCTCCAGTGACAACATTAAGCAATGACCTTTTAGTCTTTAAGCACATTTTCTGCTTATTGTTGGATCCTTTTCTGTATGGGTCAAGGGGATTTTACATTCACAAAAAAATTCTTATCATTGTATTTCTCATTATAAATATATCAAGAGTACTTAAAGGATGTTACTTAGTTATAAGCCTCTATTCAGCTCCTTAGATATCACCCCTACTATCTTGCTTTGCAAATGTTTCATGGAGTCAATGAGTTTATTCAGTACTCAATATTAGTCTATATTAAAAATAAATATCTCATATACTTCAGAGTGCCTACCCTTTAAGCTATTATTCTTGTTATTCTTATTCTTTTTTTGAAAATATGAAAGACTGTTTTTTGATTTTTCTTTTTTTTTGTTTTTGTTTTTTTTTAATTGAGAAAAGGAAGGAAAAAAAAAAGTTTCCACCTCCTCCCAGCCTCCCATTTCCTTCCCCCTCCTCTCACCCTTCTCTCCCTCCTCCCACCCTTCTCCCCCTCCTCCCATTCCTCTCCCCCTCCCTCTCCAGTCCAAAGAGCAGTCAGGGTTCCCTGCCCTGTGGTAAGTCCTAGGTCCTCCCCCCTCAGTCCATATCTAGGAAGGTGAACATCCAAACTGGCTAGGCTCCCACAAAGACAGCACATTAAGTAGGATCAAACCCCGTGCCATTGTCCTTGTCTTCTCATCAGCCCTCATTGTTCGCCATGTTCAGAGAGTTCAGTTTTAACCCATGCTTTTTCAGTCACAGTCCAGCTGGCCTTGGTGAGCTCCCAGTAGATCAACTCCACTGTCTCAGTGGGTGGGTGCACCCCTCGTGGTCCCGACTTCTTTGCTCATGTTCTCCCTCCTTCTGCTTTTCATTGGGACCTTGGGAGCTCAGTCCAGTGCTCCAGTGTGGGTCTCTGTCTCTATCTCCATCCATCCCCAGATGAAGGTTCTATGGTGATATGCAAGATATTCGTCAGTATTGCTATAGGCTAGGGTCATTTCAGGTTCCCTATCTTCAGCTGCCCAAGGAACTAACTGGGGACCTCGGCTTGGGCTCCTGGGAGCCACTCTAGGTTCAAGTCTCTTGCCAACCCTACGGTGGCTCCCTTAACTAAGAATTGTGTTTCCGTGCTCCCCTATCCAACCTTCCTTTATCCCAATCCTCCTTTTTCCCCAAGTTCCCCCCATCCTCCCCTTCTCCCTTTTCTCTCCCCATCTCCACTTACCCCCATCCCACCCCACCCCCAAGATCCCAATTTTCTCCCCGGCAATTTTGTCTACTTCCCATAGCCAAGAGGGTAACTATATGTTTTTCCTTTGGTTCACCTTCTTACTTAGCTTCTTTAAGATCACCAATTGTAGACTCCGTGACCCTTATTTATGGCTAGAAACCAATTATGAGTGAGTACATCCCATATTCATCTTTTTGGGTCTGGGTTACCTCACTCAGAATAGTGTTTTCTATTTCCATCCATTTGCATGCAAAATTCAAGAAGTCATTGTTTTTTACCGCAGCATAGTACTCTAATGTGTAGATATTCCATACTTTCTTCATCCATTCTTCCATTGAGGGGCATCTAGGTTGTTTCCCTGTTCTGGCTATTACAAATAATACTGCTATGAACATGGCTGAACAAATGCTCTTGTCATATGATAGGGCATCTCTTGGGTATATTCCCAGGAGTGGTATTGCTGGGTCCAGGGGTAGGTTGATCCCGAATTTTCTGAGGAACCGAAACACTGATTTCCAAAGTGATTGCACAAGATTGCCTTCCCACCAGCAATGGATGAGGGTACCCCTTCCTCCACAGCCTCTCCAGCAAAGGCTATCCTTGGTGTTTTTGATTTTAGCCATTCTGACAGGTGTAAGATGATATTTCAAAGTTGTTTTGATTTGCATTTCCCTGATCGCTAAGGAGGTTGAGCATGACCTTAAGTGTCTTTTGGCCATTTGAACTTCCTCTGCTGAGAATTCTCTGTTCAGTTCAGTGCCCCATTTTTTAATTGGGTTGATTAGCATTTTAAAGTCTAGTTTCAGAGAAAGACTTTTATAAAGCATAATATATATATAGTAATACTAATTTTAATGACTCATAAGCCTAAACTGAGTCTCTCTAAGGACAATTATTCAGAAGCAGGTTAGCCGAGGTCTCCCTGTTGTGATATCAACATATGCCATGTTTCAAACTCCCTTTAGGTCTGGAACCTCTTTCATGATAGCAACTAACAGTAAAAATTTCAGAATAACCAAAACAATGTCAGACAGTCTGTCTCAACTGTCAGGAGACCAAAATTGTTTGACATATATATTACCAAGAAAGAATTCCAGAGCAAAGAGACTTTTTTGTCTCCAAACTCAAAAGTCTGAGAAGACTTCAGAAACCTTACATTCATGTGTTCGTCTTTCTTTAGTTCTGAAGTCATACAACTACAATAACCACTTTGCTTTCTCTAGCCCCCAAAAAACAACGACCAAAAAATCACCGTCCACGTCCTCATGGACCCCAAGCCACCCCAAGCCAAAAGATACCTCAAACTACACCAGGTAAATGTGGTTCTTGGCTCCTGGAGCACTTCACTGGATGTGATGAAACTGGTAATCCCACTTGCCACTAAGGGAGAAGGCTTCAGCCAGACGAAGCAGCTGATGCCAGCATGATGCTCTAGCCAATCCCTATGACTTCCTTGTACTGCTGTCATGGGAATTCCTTGATAGCTGGGACTTGTAAATGTGTTTTTTCCTCTGACATTTAATTATACTTTGCTCTTTGATTATAAATTGGAAAAATATCTTCTTACTATATTTGATTCAAGAGTCACACTCTTTATTCAATGCCATTTTAGCACCTGTGGGCTATCCATTAGAGCTAACAAGTGACTTAGCTGAGCAGAGAAGCAACTCTTATTCAGACATCACAAAGAGAAATAAAGAATAGGAGTAATATCCGGGAGTCACTGTTACACCAACTGTAGACATGTCATTCATTGTTAAGTAAAAATTAATGTATATGTGGGCTAACACGTTTAATGTTGACCTGGAATTTTTAGTCTTTATAAATTTGCCAACAAGAATGGGCCTGACTCCTACAAACAGAGAGAGGGAGGTGCCATGTGTGGAAGTAACAATAAAAACCTAAGAAGTGTAGCCTGACTAAGAAGGGTGATATTTGCTTAGTTGAGCCATGATGTTGTTTTTGGAAAATCCACAAAGATGATCAGAGGAGTCCAACTTCCATGACTGCTCTGAGCCCATTGGCATGTCCTGCTACTCGTCCTAACCAGGTCTGTTCTGTATAGTGAGGAGATGGAGTAACAAGTTCCATGGACTAACGACCCTCTAGGTCTAGCTCTTTGCTTGCCTTTGCTCAAACATAGGTCTTCATCTTTCCCCAAAGTGGATTTCCAGCAAAATCAAGCATTGCATATTTTGGTCATTCTTCACTGTGTCTTGTTAAATATATCAACAATTGTATTTATCATGACTCCAGCATTTGTTTTTCAGTATATAGTTTTACAAATTATGATTTCACATTAATTTTTATAATTATTAAATATGATGTTATCACATGCACAACATTTTTTCTAAGCAGAATTTTCTATCACATTTTTGCTAATGTAAATGCAATCAAAACCTGTAGCTCACTGTAGAAAAAACAAGCAAAATCGCCATTAACTCTATAGAAAGGCTAAGGATAAGACTGTGTTGTACAAACATCTGTGCATGGTTATATAAAAAATTTTTAAGTTTTTGGTATTTTTATTGTTGTTGTTTTTGACTAAAGAACCAGTGCAAGAATGGCAAAGCTCATGTTCAGGAGAATTTGGTGGGTTTTCCGGTGTGTTTAGCATCTCCTTGTTTTAAATTGCTTTGGATCATTTCTCACAGCAGACATAGGTAATGATTCTTCTGTGAGTGCTTTTGTCTGTTCACCTTGAGGGTCGCCGTGGTTGCTGAGGAGATTATGGTGACACACCCTGTTTCATTCTGTCACAGGGCTCACCTCAAAGCATTGCAAGTTTTTTTACCATTTAGCAGAAAGGTACCCTGGCTAATTTAAGACAGCTACCTGATCTGTGCCCCTTGAAATTGTGTCACATCAATAGAGTCTTTGAAGAGTTGTGACCCCTGGCCCTCCTTTAGGCCTCTAAGACCACAGGATTGAGGGCACAGTGAAAGTTGTCTGAGATGTCTTCTTTCTTCATTCCAAGCTCTGTGGAACTGGTTTTTGGCTCTGCTGGTGTTTCAGTGAATTTTGAAATACTTACCCTGGTAAATCACCAAGTACAGGACCTCCCCAGGCACATTTGTCTTGAATTAAAAGCATCACTGTGGAGTGGGTTCAAAATTCATACCATAGAGCTAAATGGAGATTTATAACCAATTGGGGGTTAAATATATGTTCAATGGAATAGTAATGGTTCCTAACTTACATTTCTTAAATGTAATTATATCTATTATTTTTGTCCCTGAAAGAGTCTCAATTATTAAAGAAATTTTCAAATCCAGTGACAATATTTCTCAGCTCAAACTATTAGTTTTTTTTTAAAAAAAAAAAACGTTTAGAAAAGATTCCTCATCCTAGGCATAGCTTTTGGACTCATCAACACCATGTTCTTTTCCATCAGCTTCAGCAACAACCAAAAAAGTCCGCCGCCCACGTCCCAAACCTAAAACCACACCCCATCCAGAAGCACCTCAGACTATATTGGGTAAATATGTGGTTTGTGATTTATTTTGTATTGGAAAGTGTTTTACATATCTCTTCAGGGTAAAAGTTCCTGGTTTGCAAGGAGAACCTCATTGCCTAAGTAACTTATGCTTCTTTCTTAAGAATATTGTTTCTTCATGGCCATTATGTTTATTTTTTTTACTCTCTGATTATATTTGCATCTTGAAGATGGGATTGCTTGGTATAGGATTGAGCCACAACAATCTTATCAAAACTATTACATTCACTAAGCTTGCACTCACCCTCCTGAGCCACCTCAGCCCTCGGCTCTAAAATAGAAGTTAGGTCTCATTTACCACTTAGTTGACAATACAGCAGCATAAGCAGAAAGTAACATAAAGCAGCATGCTTGTGCGAGCATAAAACAATTGGAACAACACAAACGCTACATTTTATGAACCCTGAAAATTTAAATAAAAAATCCAAGATAATTCATAAAAAATTAGCACAGGATTTGAAGGTTCGAAGGATGAAAGAACAGATGGAGAACATGCCAGACTTGACTTCCCAGACATATAACATATAACATGTGTTCCCAGACAAATGCTCTCCTGTCAGTTCTGTCACAGAATGCTGAAATCTTCAAATTCATCCAATGGGGTTCAATGGTTCTCATTTCTGCACAAGATCATCCTCTTTCTATTCATAGAACTAATGAGAACACAACCCAAGGATGGCAGAAAGGAAGAATCGGTTGTTCGTCTTCTTAAGTGACAGTATGTTCTCCAAGGACTTCTCCTCTTAATGGGTGTGGTTCCAGCTTCCTTAGAGCCATGAACACCCATCATAGACAACCATGGTGTAACCTCAACACTTCCTACATTTTCCTCCTTATCACCCTATACATGTTTCTCTTTGTCACCTACTAGCAAGGCGTGGGTCTAGCACATACTCATGGGACAATATAAATACAAACTTTATATATGTAGTGATGCAAAGTGTTACTCACAGGGACAGAATCCCTGGAAATCACCATAGAGTTTATAAACTGTGTTATGTTAATATTTGACTATCTAAACTGCTCATTGCATCTGGCATTGATCACTGTTTACAGTGGATGTATTTTCGGATTTTGCCTTTTATAAAAGTTCTGGGTATCTTATATTTTTGATGATGAGTCATATTTTTTATAAAGGTTATCATATTAGTTAAAATTGGATAATTACCAGCAATGGGATTCCAGAGTTGATCTCCAGGAGATGTTCAACAGAGTCTAAGGACCGTGACTAACCTCTGAATCAAATGTAGTGATTCTTTAGAGAAGTATTCAAAGGAGAAAGAAATATTCATTTTCTCTAGTTAAGAATATTAAAATAAAGAATAATGTGGCATCCCAAGAAACCTTGTTTTTACTGATAGGATGCTTTCTATTATTCTGTACATTCATACGGTCTCTTTGATGTCTTTTCTTCTCCTGACCAGTTCCTGCTACAACCCTGGAAGCAGTTATTAGAACTGGGGCTCCAGGACTGACCTTAGGTAACGGCATAGCACGTCCTTCCACATCTGCATTTCTTGTCCATTTTGTCACCTTCGTAACCACTGCTTCTGGGACTTCACAAAGCTTCTGCGTCTTTGGGTCCTTCACATGTTTGAGTGTTAAACGGGCATCTTGTTTTAATAACGTCTTGTTTTTATGAGCCAATTTATTGAAAAAGAATGCACACATATACAGATACAGGCTCACTGTAACACCTTAGACTTTTTCGATCTCTGCTTCCATGTATCATGTTCATCACATGCACACTTTTGTTATGTGGTATCCATCTCTGTCCATGTCTTCAGGGGAATCTGCACCATCTAGGCTGAGTTAACTGAGTTTGTGCAGTTCTTATAACGTGCTTTTTTGAAGATGTAAATTTCTGCATTTTAACCATGTTCGTGTTTTGTTTGATTTTTGCCATTTTAGGAAATGATAAAACTTTGGTTTGATGGGGACGAATATAGAAAATAAGTTCAAGGCTGGTCAATTGATATTGTCAGGATTTTCATTAGCGTGAAACCACTTACACTACCATGCACACAGTAACTGCAAGGTTTTGTAACATCTCTTCATTTGGGAACCCTTATGAGCAGCTATAGGAAATATTCTTAATATATAGATTCATATTTCTTCATGAGTTTTATTTCTTAAAGAAATCCAAATATTGTAAAAAAAAAAAAAAGCATACTATCAAGACAGGATAAATACTACAAAGCTCAAAAGGGAAATTTCTTGAAACCCAAGAAATTATAAGAAACATATTCCTAGTCAACATTTCTAAAATCCAGAATTCTGTATTAACCTGAGGTTTTCTTCCTTCAGCTCCCAAACTGCCTCAACAACCAAGGCATCCACATCCCAAACCTAAAACTACAAGGAGTCCGGCAGCACCTCAGGCCGAACTGGGTAAACCTGTAGGGTTTCTGCTAAGATCTCTGGCAGCCCATCCAAGCAGGTCTTACAGAAAGTATAATGGCAGCTCAGATGGGATAAGGGGAGATAATGAAATGGCTGAAGTCCTTGTGTTCTATGTGCTAGGATTTTCTCTACAATGGTTGCTTTTCTGGCAATGCTAGTCATTATCAAGTGTTCATAATAAATATGTACATGGATGAAGCAACAAGAGAAAGAGTCTATGTCTTCAGCAGAGAGGGGTGATTGAGCAGTTACTGCCAAGTCCTGTGAGTCATAGTAGGCATTCAGGTCAGAGAACAGTAAGCACTTTCTGTATGGTGCTAGGGAATAGGTACTGCAGACTTTGCAGCGAATGTGTTTTTGTTGTTTATTTCCCCCAACTGCTTATAAATATAAATGTAATTCTTACAGGGAAGATAACCTAGGGAGAGAATGGGAACTTCTAAAGGGCAGAGAATGCTTGACAGACAGTGAAAGGAAGCAAATTTCCTCTTATGAAAAGATAGGGTTTCCAGAAATTGAAAGGTTTTAATGAGGCTCCTGCAACTAATGGCCTATAGGACAAGTTGGAAAGTTCTAAATGTTGAACTTGGTAGCTTAGAGTGCACCAGAGAATTGATTTATGGCCACAGTTTCTTTGGGTGTTGGACAAGGCTGCCTTGATATGTCACAGACAGAGTGACTGCCCCTTGTAATGTACTCAAGTTGGAGATCTTGTCGGTGAGGCAAATTTGGCTTAGATGTTAGCCTTGTTCGCTGTAACAGAATGACTAGCACAGGCTACTTACAAAGGAGAAGTTTATCTAGTTCAAATCCTTGAGTGTTCGTATTCAGAGGCACATCCCAGACCCTGGCAATGGCTATTCCCTGCTTGTATCATCTCCTGGCATGGTGCTAAGGTGGGTGCGTGTACAAGGTCTAGAGAGTGATCATATTTCTGTCCAGGAGCAGAAAGAACTGGAAGAACCAGGTTTTTCCTTTTCTATTCACTCTGGAGAATAGAAAACTCAAATATAGCTCAAAGGATCACACAGAACTACCGAGGGGTTGTGCAAGCTGTCTCATGTCCTCAATGACCTAAGACCTTCTTACTACATCCTACCATCCAAAGGTACCACTACCTTATAACAGCATTCATGGATGAGGCTTCAAAGGACACAAGCTCAAATGATAGCTATCTGTTTGGGTGCATTAGTAAGCTCAGATTGTTGGAAAATTTGAAGGTACTTTATATAAACTTTGTAGACCAGTACCTACAAATGTTTGGTTCCACTCCCAAGAGACGAATTGGCATCTGAGATCAGAGACACTATATCATTTTAGTTCGGAGAGTTAGTCACATGGCTTAGTATTTCAGAGATTTTTCTATGCTGCCAGGATTCTCTTGAATGAATATTTTAGTTTTTATAAGTTCTAATGCTTGGGATAGATGTCTTGATTATTTGTTTTTGCTATTTTTGGCTAGTTTCTACTTCAGTCTTTGAACCAATTACTCCTTTAACAGAGGATCCGGTGACCACAATAGGTAATGATACTCCTGACTCTCAGCAAATACTTCATTCATTGCCAGCTTCATCCCATGTTATCACCCAATTACATTCTTCATTTTATTTGAATTGAACCTGTTTAGAAGTATTTACCTCTTATTTGTTGAATATATTGGAAGTCGTGGTGTGGATCTAGTTTGGATTATTGGTCTGCCTTGTAACAATATTTAAATGTTGCTTTAAGGTTTTGGTTTAACCAAATTCTTGGTTAAGACCAGTTTCAAGTATATTTGGTATTTCTATCTCTAATTTGTGCAAACAAGGCTACAACAGGAATTTTTTTGTTAGTATGTGAGCAATGTGATTTAGTAGGTTGAGTAGCATGTACTATCATCAGGTTGCTATCTTTAAATACTAAACTCCATCCTTAATATTAATTGAAGTCCTCTCCCTCTCCACTATAGTTTTCAGATTTCTCAGTATTGTAGCCTAATAAGATAATTCCAGAAGAATTATTTGAAAATACTAATCCTGACTTTCTAAACTAATAATTTCAATTAATATGTCAGTCTTTGTCCCCAGAGGTACATTCAATAACAAAAGATACAATAGCATAGTAGGGGATACAGATTCCTGAAACTCAGGAAAATTTGCCAAGCTTTGTAATACCTAAAGATTTTTTTAAATTTTTGTAATGTGCTGAACTATAACTTTAAAATAAATCAATCTTACTTTCTTTTAGCTTCAAAAATGTTTGAAAGAACACAAACTTAAAGCCACCTATGTCTAGATGTGAAACCTGAATCCAGGCAATGGTTGCAATATCACCTTATTATAGGTTTCCCTAGAGAGGGGACTCTCAGAAGCCTGTTAGGCACTCATGGCTGGCTAGGCCTTTACAATTGAAGAGACATGTAGAGTCCTTCTTTTAACTAGGAGTAGCATGAAAGTTATTTCCCTTCTCAATCTGGAGGCTATTGAAATCACGAGAAGCTGTTTTGGAATGGCTGCTTGCATACTTCTTAACTTCAGAACTCTTTGTGCAATCATATTTTTTAAGCCTGGTGCATATTTTCTTTTCTTAGTGTTAAAATGATATAAGTAAGCTTTCTATATGCTTCTTACAAAACATTAGAAACATGTAAGGACATTGGTAAAATTGTCCTGAAGTTTCCCCTGTTGGAGACGGACAAGCATTGTGACATGAGGAATTGCTTGCTGAAGCATTTCGAAATGAGAGCAAAGATGGTGCCTGATGCCTGTCTGGGGGATGGGTGCGACCTGCAGTTTGCCTAGTTGGACAGACGGATTGGTGTTTTCTGAGAGCTTTACTAGGATAGCCGTTCCACAGTGTTATAGAGTGGGTACAGGGATTTATTCTTACAGTGGTTTCCCCTGAGGCTTCTCTGTGGCTCACAAATGGTTGCCTTGCTATGTTTTCATATGGCCTTTCCTCCATGTGTAAGCACACTCAACGTCTCTTCTAATAAGGATATTTGGCAAATTATGATTCCTTAATTACATCTATAAACATTGTGTTTTCACTTGGACTTTTACCCTTCAGTCTATGAATTGTGAGGGCACAATTCAGTCCATAATACTCTCAGCCAGAAAAATACACATACACACACACACACATTCTAGATTCAGTGTTGTGCTGGCAGACTCATTTTAAAGTAAATGTTGTGTTCCTTTATACATGTTTTTAAAGCTCATATTTATTAATTCAGTTCCTATTACAGACCGTGAACCTGTTACAGACCTTGAAGTGCCTGTTGCTTTTAGAACTGAGGCCCCCAGGACAACATTAGGTAACACCCTTACTTGCCAAGCGCTTCTATTGCTTATTGTATAGTCCACTAAGTCTCCATCCCCACAAGTGGCCTTTCCACCCCTCTGAGAAAGCATTCATCCTCTTCTTATGCCATCTGCTTCAGAGTTCAGAGCATCTTACAGACATGCTTCTTGTTGTGCTTATGAGAGATGAGCTTAGTTAAAATATTAATGGCCACATGGATTTTTGAAAAAGTCATGTTGTCCTGTGTTTCATAGAACAGTGTTCTGTTTCATAGCCGAGTTTTAACCACTGTCGAATGGCTGCCCATTGATAGCAGCTACTCTTATGCTCCTTGGTACATCCAGGTTTCTAGGTCTATTTCTGAAAACTATTGCACAGTGTATTTGTTTCTTTTGTGTTGTAATTTAAGCACTGATGATCTAAATGTATATGATATATATATACATATATATATGTAAATAATGATGATTTAAGTAATGAGACACCTTAGTATAAATTTGACAAATTGGAGATGACCAATCTGAAATGTTAAATTATAGGCTTCCTTCTTAATATGATTCAGATGCCCCCCTTCATTAAATGAATCCTTCCCAATCACTTCCCCCAAAGTGGGGCTCTATGACTTTCTCCCAATGAGTATCAATCTCCTTGCCTTGAGTGAGCACCTCAACTGTGACCAGGAATTTACTTCAAATCACTGTCGATGACAAAAATAAGACACGCTTGTTTTTAAGAAAAGAGTGAAAAAAGTCTAACTAAAGGAATAACTGCCTGCACCTTTA